TCACGAATGGTTTTAATGAAAGAGTATGACAGGGAAGGTCTGTGCTTCTATACACACTATAACAGTGCCAAAGGAATGCAAATTGATAGGAATCCTCATGCTTCCATGCTATTTTACTGGCCTCATGTTGATAGACAAGTGAGCAGTTTCATCGATTCAGATGAAATTCTTTTCGTCGTGTAGGAATGTTTTAAAAGTAGAGTAGTCTGAAAGAGTGCTTGGAGTTAAAGCTGGATTATTAGGGCCGTTAATAACATGGGAGTTTTTGGAAGTTTTTGCAGCGTATTGCATTGAGGAAAGGATGCTACGTTTAATGACTGAACAGTTCTAGTGATCTGCAGTTTGTATATTTGTCCTTTTCCTTAAGTGATTATTTTTAGTGTTATTCAATTAAAAAAGAAAATTTGTGTGAAATTACTAAAATATCACACCATATGTTGCAGTCACTTTTAAAATATTAAATTTTAGGTTCGAATGGAGGGCAAACTTGAGAAATTGCCTGTTGAAGCTGCAGAAGCATATTGGTATCATCGGCCATTGAAAAGTCGTATTGGTTCAAAAGTGAGCGAACAAAGCAAGATGATTCCAAACAGACAGGTTAGATCTCTTCACCATTTGTAATACTGATCTATCAGTGGTGCTGATTTCCGTTCACTGAAAAATGACGGAACATATTCTGTTTTTCAATTCATTAAACTGTAATTTACATTTTAAAATACCAGGAAAGTTTTCCTACATCTATTATAATAGTGCAACATCAACGACTTGTCAACGCTGAAATCCATTCAAATAATTTAAATTATTCACTGTATGACGTAATCACTATGAAGTGATATGAGTGAATGAATGAAATGGGTTAATGTTCAAGCGATAATCATTTCCTGTTCCAAATTGTCCTTTCCATTTGTTGAAATCAACTGTGTGACATTTACTTCCACCGCTTCCAGTTCTGGACTTAATTTCAAAGTTTTGAGTATGCGGTGAATTCGGTTTAATTTGAATTAACTTGTCAGCTTCTTTATTCAATTTGACATTCTTCACTTACTTTCTGTAGTATCTGGAAGACAAGAAAGTGGAATTGGAGAAACTTGTCGCCGAAAAAGGTGAAGAGGCAATCACTAGACCGGAAGACTGGTAAGAATTTTATTCAATATTTCATTCTTACAATGGGTCTCAGTTCTTTCTATACATTCTTAAGAATTCGATGAATAGGATGTGCTGCGTTATCTTCATCGATATAATCACAGTAATTAATGAATGGCGGTTGTTTAGGGGTGGCTATAGATTGCGTCCACACTATTTTGAATTTTGGCAAGGTCAAACTGATCGGATACATGATCGTATTGTATTTGAAAAAGGAGCTGATG